TATTATTCCCACATAACATAAGCAAGCGCATGGACTATAGGATTATGGCAAAGTACGTTATGATACTTTCCGTTATGATGTTTTACGTTATGATGAAGTACGTTATGACGCGTTACGGATTATTCCGATTACGTATATGATCGTTTGATGTTATGATGCGTTGCTGTTATGATGGAATGATTTTATGATGCATCGTGTTTATGATTGAATGATATTATGATGCGTTAGTGTTATGACGGGGTATGTTATGAAAAATTACGTTATGATGAAGTATATTATTATGGATTACGTTATGAAACTGTACATTATACCGGTGTACGTTTCTATATTGTATGGAACATATTGCGATTTCTATCGTTTGACGTTATGATGGAGTATATTTCTGTATACTACGATTTCTATCTTGTACATTATGATGCATTAGGTATCCCCTCATTGGTGAACCATTCACAATGACCACGTTATACCGTTTTTAATTCTCACGAAATGTGGAATCTGTTATTGAGTTAACAATGTACTGGTATTGTGAGAGTTTTAAAAAACTTCTGTGAGAAGTTATTCTGCCTCCTCTTATTTTTAACTTATATAAAACACTATGGCAATTGCGAAATTTTTGTATCTTCCAATTTTCATAAACAGACTAATATTTGGAAGTGACTAGATATTAATATTGTCAATTATATTGTGATTATTTTATCACCTTATAGTACTGAAAGGGTGGAGTGTCTGCTCTCTCTATCTATTATTTGCTTATTATTTGCAGTAGTCATCAGCAAATTCATATTGCCATCGGTTTGAATACCAGATTGAGTTAAGAAGGCAAAATACGAGGAAGCCAATCTCTAATCTGCAGACGTCTTGAGGAACAACACTAATGGTCCAAATGATCGCTTAGAATAGAAGAAATGTTGAATGAATGGAGGAAAAATAACTTTAGACATATATAATTTTATTTATAAAATCATGAAATACATTTATAAAAAACTTAAGTAATATTGCGAATGTAATCATCACTATCATAACAATTTAATAATAGTGGTGATCAATGAAAATAAGTCCTTGGTTACAGTATACTTATATTCATCTCTAAGTTTAATACAGAGAGCTATCTTAACAGATCTAACAACTAGTATAATATCAGTTGGAATTGAGTTGTGAAACCCTTTTATCATATGAATAAATTACAAAAATAGGTTCATCAGAGCAGCCCGAAAACAGATATTCTCCAATTTGTATTACATTATGTAAAACTATTTCAATTTATATGAAACTCATGATTGAGAACTGTACCTTATAGAGTTATTCTATGTCTGGCTTCACCACTTTTGAAAAATGGCCACTAGAAAAATGAGGAGTATTTGTAAAGCATCAAAAGTCAGGTACGTTTGAAATTTTTGCGAGTTTAGTTGCAGATATACTCACAAGATGAATGAAAAATTGAATGTTCCACCTACATCAATCTTTCGAAGTCTTCATCCCTGCTTGGCAATTATGTCATTACCACTATGTGATGAACATGTAAGCTGAATCAATTGCTGAGATATTTTTGAAAAGCATTGATAAAAAAAAATGTTCTAACGTACATGATGATGCACATGAATATAAGAACACAGGCTTTCACGGCCGGAGTCCTGATTAACCATAACAAAATCCGGGCTGGTAGGCCGTGGTTGAATGGGGCCTGAAGTTCAAAACATTTCGCTTGCTAATACAGCAGACATCATCAGTGGCATTTTTGTTGACTGCGAGGCGAAGGTTTCATCTTGAAATCTCAGCAACACCCATAATGTCTGCCGCAGTAACACACGAAACGTTTGTACTTCAGGTTCCATTTGACCAGTCTACCAGTCCAAATTTTGTCCTCCTTAATGATGCACACAGACTCCAACATCCACAGATCTCTGCTGTTCATTCTCTTTTTCCATAACATATACACATTACTTTCCACGATATAAATTCAAAAATCCTTTCACCCTCTCGTGGTAGTAAACACATACAAAACCAACAGCAAGGTTGGTCTTAGGTAGAGCCAGATCAATAACAAATCAGTAACTCTAACTCCCCCAAACCATCGTAAGTCAGTGCTCAAACTGGGACGCAGTATGGAATGTAGATGATGAAAGTGAACACAAGAAAATTAAATATTGTGATAATATTGAATGCAAACACACTATCAGAATTTTTTCAGTTGTGCAGGGAAGAAAACAGTAACATGTCAGAAGAGGTGCGCATCACCTTGTCGCACATCCACAAAATACAGCAAGGCCCACATCATTGATACCACCACATTGTGTTGGATTACGAACTATGTAGTGTTCATTTTTAGCAGTTCTGTTAAATTGGTCTTCCACACATGAGATACTTTTTTGCGGTAGCGACCTAAGGTCGGCTCTGTGTGTGAGAGTACTAGAAAGTTGGCATCTTGAAGGCTCAGCTTGAATAATGAAATTCAGTTATTGGAAATGAACTCAAAATACTGAAAAATATCATCAATGATGTAAACCAAAATCTCCAGTATTCATATGTATCAATATTATTCAGTTATGAAGCGTATGTGAAAGTGTCCCGACGATTTTTCAGTTTGAGTGATTTGTCAATGGTATTTAGGGTGGTAAATTTCAAAACGAACGCAATCTATACTTAAATTATTAAAGCTCTTGTTTAAAGTACCTTCTACGAAGATAACAAAAATAATAAAATTGAAACTTGTTATACAAAATTAGTTTTTACTCCTTTATTAGAAGACTCGACTTGGGATAATTTCAAGGCTAAGCTTGAGGTTACCTTATCAAAGGATCGAAAATTCAATCAACTGTTGGGGAAACGAAAGATACTTTGAATATTGGGATTGTCTGAAATGCTAATAATTCAGTCACGAATTGTATGGGGCTCATTGTTAAAAATACATGAAAACCTTTGTTTGGTACAGTTATGGCACTATTAATCTTGGTATCAAACAATCCAGGTTTGAAATTTTCAGAACAGAGAAGCCGTGCAAAAACTCCAAAATGATTGCTTTGGGGATATCTTAATAATAATTTAACTCGCACCATTACCCATTATTAACTCCAAATGGCAAGAAGGGACGTGTTTCCTATTTTCTGAAATTCGATTTTTTATTCAAAAACTTTAGTTTCTCATTTCCCATATTACAGAGTTCAAATTATAGATTTCTGGGAATGAAATAAAAATATACCTATTATTAGAATTATAACAAAACATCCATCCAAAACAAAATTGAAATGCCAAGACCATTCATAGAATCTGAAAAAATTCCTCGTAAGTCAAAATCATAATTGATTTCATTTTGATGAAATTATTAAAATCACATTCTATCATTGATTCCATAAAATATGACAAAAGATACATAACTGTAAGGCTTTTTCAAATTTTTGATGATTGTTGTTGACGTTGAACTTCAGTACCTACAGTGAAGGCAGATATGAAATTATTTCAGTCAGAAACTTCTGAGAAAGTGATTGGATAATTTTGAGAGATCTTAGATGAATTCAAACAGTAACATTGACAGTTTTCATCTCGTGCTTTTTGAGCACGCAAATGGATATGTACTTGCCCAACACTTATTTAATGAAAATTCGTGTTAACGTGCTTGAGAAACAATTTTGTGAGATTTTCACTCCATATGTTTCACTATACAATACCTTTTTTAGGCGTGTTCAATTCTAAAATAACTTCTACACATCTGTAACAACCTATATAGGTACATTTTTGAACATTTTCGTTTCGCCACCATCTCAAGATGTGTTAATTCTTCGCATGAAGAATGGTGAGCAACATTTGTCAGCACTCCCAAAATTACACAGAAGACAGTCTTGTGCAGCTAAACAAAGCCTGTTTCAATTTTTTAATTTCGGGCATCTACGACTACTATATTCATTAGATAGCTTTTCATTGAGGAAAGTACCTACTTAATTGCAAAAAGTTAGATCTTTAAGTATACACCAATTAATTTCAAAAGAAATCATTGTTTTCATTTGCTCTTCCATCTGTACCATTCTTCGATCCTCGATCTCAAATTAAGTAAATTTCCTTGTGCTAATATTAAAGGGCATTCACATATAACAAAAGCCGTTACTATTCACAATGAAATGAGTGGCGACTCGATGAACTCTGCAGAGACATCTGGTAGGTATTTCAACTGCAGACACATCCACTCATTAGTCGATAATATACACTGAATGCAAGAATTGATATTTGAGTAACCCACATAACACACTCGCATAGATTAGGGTCCTCATTAAGTTTGAAATCTGTGATAAGGAATTGAAACTTATCCCAGGACATTGGGGTCATTTCATGAGTCTAACTTCTTAATATAATATGGTATTGATTGATTGAAATATAATACAACCAGTTCTTCAATTTTCAAATAGTTCAAACAAACAGGGCTCATCATAATTGAATAGAATACCTTCGTGTCAAATGGGAAATCGAGTTTTTTTTACCATCAAAAATTATACAATTCGTTTCAGATCGCATTTCAACTATATTTTCGATAGATGATATCAGAGTTCGAAAGCTATGCATTCATTATCCAGAATGTCTACAACTGAAGATTGTTTATATTTTGGCTGTTGAAAAAAATGAGTACTTATTCCTTATCAGAGCGGTAATAAATATCATGTTGAAATATAAGCAAATCAAGAGATGAAACATCGGAAGATTCATCAAAATTAAAACAAAATTAATGTAATTATTTCACAAATTGTGAGGTTGCATTCATCAATGACTGGGATGTTACAAACAAAACTCTTTCTTATGTCAAGCTTTCGGTATATTTCACATTTTCGTCAGGACAAGATTATATATCTTGTGAAAATATAAATTTGGAGAATAAACTATGAAATGTCTCAAAAACGAATAGAAAAAACATAAAATAATGAAAGATCAAAATTTGACTGATAATGTCAAGTTGAAAAATTCTGAATATCTCTAGATCTTTTATTATTCATTATATTTCATTATTTACTTTAGGTTGAACTAAGATTTTATATAAAATTATTATTGGAATGTATTTTATGAATAGTTCTTATCACAATGCACCTACATTACGTACATTTTAGTCATGGCTGGTCACTATTTACAAGTCTAAAGATATTTACAATGAAAAATCACCTTGATTCCATCCCAAGATATAAGAAAAGTGGTTCCGTACATACTGTGTTCCGATCAGTTCCACGCTTTAATTTTGAGATCAATGGCGACCATCTTTATCATTATAGTAACTAATTTCAATAAAAATATTTAAATCTGCAGAAACAAAACCATTGCCACCTAACCTGGCATTTATAACATTAAAATTACATTGAATGTTGATGATCTCATCAATATTTTTAAAATAGAAACGTGATCATATATACTTAATAAACATAAAAACAAGAACTAACAATAACTTAGATGGATTAAAATTATTGAAAAATTACTCGTAAAATCAACATTCTAAACACTATAAACAAATAATAAAGTTCTAATCAACACGCTCTTAAAATTACTTCGTTTCAAAACAAATCACAACAAAAATGATAAATGATAAAGTAAGTGAGATAATATCTATCAATGGCTGTTTTAGTGGTCCATGAGTTCCACAAAAGTTATGTCGAAAAGATCTTCATCTACTGCTTTCAATTCAAATATGAACAGATCTTCGTTGCAGTAATAAGCTAGCATATCATCATCAATCTTGGCTATAATGCTGAAAATAAAGAAACTCGTCAATATTTTATCATGTATTATTAATTTTTATCAAATTGTTAAGTTGAAAAAGTTTCTGTAGTTAGTAAAATGCGAACTGTTAGTTTTGAGACCAGTTAGTGTCAAGTCCACTCTTTACAACTACTCCATAATATTTTCAAAAGTTTGAACTTACCCTTTTTTGTTTTTGCGATACAAGTTATTTATGCTCGAAGCGCTTATTTTGTACTTATTCTCAATCTGCAAAATAAGGAAAACAGAATTAATTTTTCCAACTACTAAATAAATTCACAAATTTCTGTCTTTCTTCATTTTAGCATAGATTTAGAAGAAGTACTGAGCTTTTCAAAAAAGTACGTGGAGCTGCAAAAGTAAACTGATCCCACGTTGGTGGTAATTATGATGTTAATCCAACATGCCTGTTTAGTCTTGGTGTTATTCGACCACAATAAGAAAGATAAAAGCCCAGTACATTCAAGTCCATGCATATTGAGCACAGGGCTTCCAGCTTAACATTATGTACAAAAATAAAGAAAAAGTCAGTAATACTTCAATCGAATGTTATTATCATACACCACAAGATTAATGTTATCTAACAAAAATGAACAAAAACTAATCAATCGTGAAGCATCCAACAAAATTGAAATTGTAACATATACGCATTAACGAATTCATTAGACAAGTAATAATTTCTAGAATACAAGACGTATCAAAAGGAATGTTGGTATTGGTAAATTGTATAAGAAGACGAATGTTTACACATACTTTCCTGGTCAATTCTGGTTTCACTGGAAATGAATACGGTAGGTGTTTGATTTTTAAATGGAACACTCTCTATATTTCAACAATTTTGGATTCCGGGACTTCTTTAACTGAAATATTTTACGCCTACTTAATTTTTTAGAGTCAATAATCTGAGGATCTCGGGTGATGTCAGAAATTGACAATCACGAAGTTTTAATGACTAGAAGTATAAAACTACTTGACGAAATCACATTTACGTGCCTAATCACTATTTTTCATAAGGTCTTCTAATAACCCTAGAAGTTGATGAGACGATGAATAAATATACTATTATTTTCCAAATGGTGACAATTATTTCACAAGCAATTTCCGAAAACAAAAGATTTCTTCAAATCTTACGTACTAATTCATTTGCGATTGGATAAAAAATTAGAAAATGAATTGAATGATATTAGGGGCCGTCTACCCGTGGGTTGGGGTCCCTATCGGGCACGTCCCCAGGTGGCAGATAAGGGAACGGCCAAGGGACTGGAAGCCCTGTCCGGGAAGCCAATGTGGCCTTACGAACGGGGTTGCCGGACTCCTGGTCAGTGGCAGAAATAAGTAGGGTGAGGAGAACTAAAACCCCCAAAAGCCTTTGCAAAACATGTCACCTTGGACCAGCCTACCCAAGCTAAGGTGTAAGGAATCGTGCCGACAGCTGAATGGCTGCAGGGTAATATGCTTTCACGAACGATCCCTTTAGGGAACTGGGCGAAACCTCATTGTAATCAGCCTACCTCTGGTAATGCGGGGCTCTGCCAGAGGTGACAATTCTTCCCTTGCTACTCGAAGGAACACACATGAATGAAACAACACAAAAACAGAAACAACAAAAACCAATACCGAGGCTGAACAGAAGTGCTCACCTCAATCTAAGGCGGTGGCTGGGGAAGAACAGAAATGTCCACCCCAATCTACCGCTTGGAATGAGGCTGGACATAGCAGATCACCTTCAACAGCAAGAGGGCACTTCCTGCGGCGGGCGCCAAGGGCTCCGCTTTGAATAAAGGCATGGAACCGGCTGCCCCTACAGGAAAGCCCCCCCACTTGTGTACCTCTATGAAGGGAACCCCAAGAAGGTTGAAGAAGCCGTTCAACGACAGTAATATCGCTGCACCTTCCAACACCTTCGCGGAGGCCACCGTTAGACACCTCAAGGTTGCCAAAGAGAGTGTGTGTTCGACGAGTCTTGGCCTACACCTGCCAATATAAAGAAGATATATCATAGTGACCTGTTCACTTTCCTGGAAAGGACAGGATGGACGATGACCTAGGATGACAACTCTTCGGGAGGATCTACAATGGGTCACATGTGGCCTAAGTGCTGTGGGCTTACATTCACCTTCCCTACTCTACAGATAGGGGCCGTCCATTAATAACTTTGTTTTTTTATTTATTAACACCCCTCCCCCTTGGTGATACGTAATGAGGTTTAAGACTAACCCTCCCTCCCACACTCAAAATCACGTGTATTTTTAGTACCTACAAAGAATCTTCAAACTTTTACTTTCTTATACTCTGTACATAGGTCTTCATACAGATCACCTATTTTAGGCATTATTTTAATGAAAAACGGACGAGGTAATGGTCTATGCATGTATTCGGCGCCGAAATAACAGTTATATTATATAACTGGCGACTGGCAAGTCGAGCCACCTGTCGTCGTGGCGCGCGGGGACTCCGTTCGTTGCCTGGTAACGGCAAATCAAAGTCACATTACACTCCGCTTGTCGGTTTAGAAATCGCGCGTTTAACGAAAAAATAAATAAACGAGATATCTTGCTACAATCCCCTACCCCTGTGTGATATTTTGTGATTTTTGCTAAACCTCTTCCCCCCTTAGAAGTCTCACGTGATTACCTTACGAAAAATACTGGATAATGATTTTATTTACTTTTTTCAAGTGTGCACTTGACACCAATGATACTAATAATAGCAGTTATTTTCATCAAGTTTGAAAGTTCAGAATAACAAGGGTTACTTACCTATGTTTTCATCAAAATGATAATCATGGTAATAATTTAGATTCGGTGGTCCTACAAAGAATTTTCTTTCAACAAAATGAAGTTCCCCCCTAATAATATCAGAAAAAATCTCACCTGCTCAGTAGAGCATTTCAGTAATCAAGTTATTGCAACCAATGGCCGAAAACGGTGGCCTGTTCACTCAACTGTTCTCGATTTCTTCATCTGAGGATACATTAAAAAGGATTCATTATGTACGAAAGCACAAAAGGGCCATATATTTCTATTATTTGTTTCTTGGAAATTACGAATTTCAAAGTGGAACTTTCGAGTTTAGAAGTCTCTGGGGCTCAAAGTGGTTGGGGCTATCCAACAAGCTCAGCAATTCTTGAAATCAAAAGGATTTTACGGACATTTAGAAGTATAACTCCACAAATGTTGAAAAACGTGTTGGGAGGAACAATATTGGACGAATTTGAACCAGAAGGAATTGCACTTGAAAAATGCACTACAGTGAAATTATTAATAAATTCGTTGAAGTTATTAGTTGATTTTAATAGATTGTTAATTCCGTTTCTCAATTTGTAACCCTCTTTATCTTGTATGTAATTTTTATTTAGTTAATTTTGTAAAATTCATTCGAAAAAAGCGAGGTCATTAATTTCCTGTGGATACATGGTCTCGTCATACAGTCTGTTGACCTGAACAACAATGTAGAACTATTTTGAGACGCCTAGGGTTTCCTGTTGTACGATCATAAAGATTTCAAAAAATTATTTATTTTATGACAATCCCTAAAACTACTTGGAGTATAAATAGTAGGTATGTATGTTCATTCAGCAGCATTGAAATAACAACTGAGATATCCACTTTGAGATTGCAAATGTGAATAAAATTATTGAAAGATGAGTCACGATTATTACTGTTGAAATGGTGGAGTATCGAATTGAAATATTACTTTTGAAATCGACATGTATCGATCGATTTAGTTAATGAATAACAATTTTGGCTGGAAATCCTTTAAGCAATGGAAGCTAAGCGTTATTATAGGGCTATAAACTTACAGCATCCAGGAGTCCAGTTGTAGTGGGAGGCACAACATGTAAAGGCGTATAAACTTCTTCATTTTCTTGGCGAACATAAAGCATTACTCTTTCATTGAGGGGAGGAGGCAAAGTGCTGCTTGAACCAATACTCATCAGTTTAGTTCTCTTCAGCGGCGGAGAGAAGACATTTCCATCAGACGATAAACTACTATCCAATAAACTATTGTCCTTTTTATCAGTGTCCGGTGGAAAATGATTATGAAATTTCAAAGTAGGTGTATTTGGAGGTTTCGGCGCTGTATGTAAGAGAAAAGGTGACCCAGTCTTGCCATGATCAACTGTTCCTCCTAAAGAACCATCTTCATGCGAATAGAATCCTTGCAGTTCCATTGAAGTGAGCTGTGGAACAAACTAGATATTATTATATTATACCGTATATTCGATTTATCTTACTTTATCAATGTCCTCGGCTGGAGAAAACAGTACTGGTGGTTTTGATAAATCACTCATTGCATAAAATTCTGATCTTTCACACATAGGATGATACAATTCATCCAGTTTTTTTCTTCCAGTTGCGGTCATTTTCCTTTTGGCTGCTCTTCGCTCCTCATCTCTTGTTTTACGCTCCGCACCCTTCAAAAATATGGTTTTAATTAAATTCTTGTTAAGTTCAGCAGAAAATCTCGAAATGAAAACAAGACACTGGCTAAATCTAGCCAGGGTCCGAAGGATGTTCAAGGAATACACTTTTTCTGGATATATTTTCATAACTTTTATTTTGAATACTCGTAGAATATTATTCTCGTATTCTGAACGAATATTAATTTCTCTCTCATTCTATATGACTGTACTTATGATGCACTGTTTGGAACCTTTGGTGTAGTAATGAATATTACTGGAGTTTTTCCCAGTTTTTAACACCTCATCGGTGTTAAAAATAACGATTTGGTGTTGGGAAAAAACTCCGGTAATATACTATATGACTGTGTCACTATCATTAATTTTATAGTAGGATGAGACGCGATGTTGTTTTCAGTTCACATTTTGGCTGTTTGAAGTTGTGATAATCAAATAAAGAACTGGCAAGTAGGAATTGTCTGTACAATAGACAACCGACAATCGCAGCTGTCTGTTGATTGGTCAAACCACTGACATTTAAACTCAGCAAGTTGACTTGGGTCACACACCAGTAGGTGGTTCCACTTATGTCTCGCTTGCGCTTACGCAGTTATTTTTATCAAGTGCTTTTCTTGGTTAGAAAAATAACAATTATATTGAGTAAAACAATTGAAATCGCAATAAAAAACTTGAACTATTACCACGAGCTGAAAATGAAATATTATTAACAAGAAATGAAAATTAAAAGATTTCAAGCCAAGTTACTTCACGACATTTCGATTGTTAGTATCCTGTTAGTATCGTCTCTGAGTGCTTTCACCTATCATCCCCTCTTTCCTCTTGATCGGTTTTAACGGGAGCTGACCGTTTGGCGGAAGTTGGTAGTGTTCCGCTTGATTATAGGTTTCCATGTGTTGCGTATCTCTACACTAGCTTGGTTAAATGCGTTGTTGCACAACATATATGCGGCTTCTTTTAATTTTCTCCTAAACCAGTGTTCCTTCTTGTGGATGATTTCAGCTTGAGACGAGTCCAAACATGCTTTGCTATTCCTGATTTGCTGGTTTCTCCTCGCTGTGTGTTTCTTGTGTTCACCAATGCGAACTTTCAATGGTCTCTTAGTTTTACCGATGTATGATTCTCTGCACTCGGTAAATGCAATTCTTGGAATCGCAGTCCGCGTTTGGTGGCCTGATTTCAGTGAGGCTGCTATGGATAGTATTCCCAGATCTGAAGCAGGTTCTAATGTTGGACCTAATACTTGGACCTAATACTTCTTATCTTTTCCGACAATCCTCTAATGTATGGGAGTACAAGTACTGGTTGTGGCAGCTTCTCTTTCTTGTGAGGCTCTTGCTGTCTTCTAGACAAAGTCTGTTCCTCCATCACTTTGGAGTAACCATTCCGTTGAAGGTCATTTTTGATGATGCCTAGTTCCTTTTTGAGATCTTCCTGTATATTACAGAGCCCGAAAACACGGTCTACTAGAGTCTTGATGATTTCTCTCTCAGTCGATTGATGGTGTTTGGATTCCTGGTTCAGATACCGTCACGTGTGAGTGGGTTTTCGGTATACATATATTTCCCATTTAGTGTAGGTCCTCTTCACTAATACGTCTAAGAATGGCAATTCGTTGTGGACTTCCTTCTTCATTGTGAAAGTGATGGAAGGACTCACATTGTTGATGTGCTTCAGGAAGGTGTCTATTTCTGGATTCCCATGGTTTCATATTGCGAAGGTGTCATCAACGTATCTCAACCAGGCTCGGGCTTCTTGTGGGCTTATTTAATGGCCAGAGTTTCAAACCACTCCATATATATGTTGGCTATAACCGGTGAAAGTGGCGATTCCATTGGCAGTCCTTCATCTTGCTAAAAAAAATCGTCCTTCAGTTGGAAGTAGCAGTTTCGTACACAGCATTCTAGTAATTCCATGATTACTTGTCCTGGTAAGTTTGTTCTTATCTTTCAGGTTCCCATCTTCGGCTCGTGTTAATACATAGTTCAATTTTTTGTTGTCTATTAGACAATAGAAGTCCGAACTAATGAAAAAAGATTTTTCATTGATGAAAGAAGCAAATTCAAACGAATCTTTAATATAATATTCATTATCCAAGTTATATGTTCGACTCAGAATTTTTGTTATCATTACAGAGAATATACTATTTGGAGCATCAATGGATGAAATTATTGGTCTGAGTTTGAGTGTAGGTTTATGAATTTCAGGTAATCCGTAATATTTTGGTGTTGAAGAGTTATAAATCATGAATTTCTTTGCTGTTTCATCAGATATCACTTCAGATTTATTCAATTCAGAAATGAGGTTATTTGCTTTTTGTTTAAAGCTGAGCTAAAAAATCATCTTGTGCTGAAAGCACACTACTCCGATGACGAATTTCTGCAGAAATGAACTTCTTCTCACCGATTGTTTAAAAAAACAGGTGCTTTTAACATGTTTTGTATAATGGTGCTAGTAATTCTAATTTTTGCATACTTTTCTGTTTAAAAGTACCATTCTTCTGTTTACAAATACTCCCTTTTGACTCTGATGGTCGTTTTACTTTTAATTTTAATGTTAGGCTAATTAGTGTTTGTCTTTGTTGAGCACATCTGACGTGTTATCCAAGTTAGTATGTTACAATTTAGGCTCCTGTATTGTAATTTAACACTTCAACTAATAAATTGATTGATTAAATGGTTGAGGTGGGATCTCTTTTGAGAGAAATATAAGATTCTTCGTCATGAAGTATATCCAAGGACTTTTCAATATAATCATTTTTGTTTATTATAACAGTCACAAGCATACAACTTGGATAATTAATATTATATTGAAGATTCGTTTGAATTTGCTTCTTTCATCAAGGGAAAATCTATACGAACAGGATATAATTTAATAAGTCTTTATGTGGTATCTCTTTCCAGCAACATACCTATAGAACTGGTTGAAAGAGGAATATTAAAAAGATGGAATGATATAAAAAAATTGTCAAATTACCAACTTTTTTGACATAACTAAATTCATTTTCATTTCATTTCATTTCATTTTCATTTTCAACTTACTTTTCATTTGAAGGAAATTATAATAAAGAGATTTTAGGTACACCATTGGGTGTACCTAAAATCCATAACGTATTGTGAAATACTTGCACAATACGTTATGGATGATCTCTTTGATGAAGTACTTCCCCAACTTAGTTTCAAAGNTGGATACATCAAACATTATTTGATTTTAAATTGAATGTACATTTTGGGTTATTTGAAAAATATATATTTTCAGGTGAGCCATGGTGCATAGCTACTTTTAGCTATTCTGATTCAAACAGAAAAACATCATCATCATCCTCACTATGTGCTCTACATTAATGGGTAGACATTAACGGTGTGAATATTATTAGACGCTATTCACCTATAAGTAGATAAGTAGTTGATCAATCATTTTGAGTCCAGTGATAGTTATAAATTCAGTTAATAGACTGGACCTAGTGAATTATCTAAAAAGAACCAGTAAACAGCCAGAAGATGCAAGTGAAGTCGGCATACAACACATTTTATGCTATTTTTAAAATAATTTCAGGAGATTTCAGGGTAATAATCATCTTCTAATGATTCACATTTTCAGAAATTTCAACTAACCTTATCACAGAACACTTTTATCTGACAATAACCCCTGTGGAATACACTTGCATCTCGAGGATCTTCATAAGTGTCTATTTGTAAATGGAGAGGTAGACCTTTAACTCCTTTCTGACTGCTGAAATCTGTACTCAAACATTGTACCGCAATATTTATCTGAAATGAAAACGAACATATTAGCAAGTTAACAAATGTTGATATTAATATAACTTGAACTTGAACGCATTCTCAGGCGAGTTTCTTGTCAGAAATTCGATAGTAGGATATGGAAAAAATATATAATTTCATAGATGAATGAATTAAACTATTCAAAACTGCATGAGCTTTTAACATTTTCGAGCAATGATTCAAAATCTGATGTAAAAAAGTTTTGAAATACCTTAGCTGGACTCTCCATTGGATTCCAATACACTGCAATTGCATTATGAGCTACTTCTTCAATTGATCCAACTAATCCTACACTGTTTTTTGTATCTAAAAAGAAATAAATGCCAATTAGTTACTGAAACTGATGATGTCAATAGCAAGAATAATTTTAGCAAGGAATTTCATAAAATTCGGGATTCACTTCTATATATTGATTTTGGTCTGAGTACTTTTCTCACCACTGCCACTTTTACATTCTTATTACAACCGTTTTTCCAAGAAATCTTGCACTGGTAGAGTGCAAGATTTGAATGCAGTAATTCACTTCACTATCCGGTTTTCCTATTATTTTTCCTTAGTGAATATAATGTAATACTTGTTTGTTTGCCATCTATATACATTTTGGGTGATTGCTGTGTTGCTGATATAACCATCGTCTTATTTGTATTGATTCTCATAGTTATCTTGAGTGCTGCATTCAAGTATTTATAATGGGTTGTAGATTTTTATGAACTTGCAACGAATGCCATATCATCGATAAACAATAGTTCCGTTAATTCGACTTTTGCTATCCCCCAATGTCTTATTGTACGTTTTTTGCTTTTTCATATTTGGTTTAGCTTCTTGAGCCGCCTGGTCCAGTACTGATAAATACTATGTACACGTCCTCGTTGTTTGAATAGATGTAGATTTTTTTATATATTCTTCAGGATATCAATAATTTCTTTGTGAATTTCTTTTTCTTGGAAGATCTTTCAAACATGTTGTGTGTTTATTCTGTCAAAAGCTTTCCCCAAATCTATAAAATACACACAAAAAATGGACATAAGAGAAATAATGGTGAAGTAAAAGAGAAGAACAAATGAAGATTTTACCAGAACTGTTTCATGAAAACGGGACGTGACGTAGTAGCTCGGTTTGAAAGTTTGTTCTCTCTTTCTTTTGGGTTGAGAGTCATTACCTGTACACATCGTGAATTTTTTTTCTTCTTTATTTTCATTTTTTGTATATTTTTAACATTTTACTTATTGTCATTAACATTTTTATAGACCAATATAAGTTAGAAAACTTCCATTTCTTCACAAATTAGCGTTATCACACTTCAATATTTCGTATTCATTGTTTATTCCATTTCATATCTTCACATTTCAACTATACCTTTCGAATATTTCGATTCTATATACTAATTTTCTAGAGTTTATCTCTATCAATCTTTTCGAATGGAAGTCCATACTTTTAATTTTTGGTTTAATAGTAACTGATTTTTTCAAAACTTGTTAATAAAAATACGGATTGATTTTCCCCCACACCAGAACTAAAGATTACTGAAAATTTTAGTCATCTCCCGATAATGCTGACTAACAGAATTAGCAAAACGGGGGTCCAGCTCTGGCGTGTAGATTTATTATACGACAGAGGTTCTACTTCTAACTATAAAGTTTGTGAAACATGAAGTATTTTCATAAGATTGAAAGTTCGGAATGACAAAAGCAGAAAAATTAATTCATTGCATTGAATAGGAATCGTTATTTTGTCAATTGGAAACAAGTTATACTAAAACCGTAAATCTAACCAGCATTTGAACATTTTTCGTTTCTTACAACAAATTTTGTTAAAAATTTTTCGTAATTGCCCAATATCACTATTAGTCCCCCGCCGTGTCTGTCTGAACGCGATAAACTCAAAAACTACAGAACTAATTTCCGTAAGGATTTCAACAAATAAATGGAACGATTTAAGTGGAAGATGTGTACCTATAATTCATTAGTTTGTGTCAATTGGTTGAAATATGACGATGTTAATCGTGAAAAGTCGGTTCGAGCTTTCAACGAAACGAAACGCATTTTGTTCTTTTTTTATCAGTCTACAAAGAAGTCCGCGATGGCATATATAATTTACCTTTTACAATAATGGTTACATATAATGTGGTTATTGAAAAGCTGTCTAGACGGATAAGATAAATCAAATGAATACGTTAGTTGCCTCAAGTATTCCATACATTATAATTGTCCTTTACACCACACAATTCAAAATTATATCTTAGGAGAATCGTAGAATAAAAAATGTCGCGCAAGAAAATGAATTTATGTGGCCTGACAAACCAAAGCGACTCGCGTGATAAAGAAAGGTTGTAATTGTGTTGATTTTGATTTAAGTAGTGAATCATTGAAGGTTGAGATAGTATTTTTGTTTTGTATTATCTACTTCAAACGAAATTGTCCACCCTACAGGAAAATCCTTACGGCGCTCTAAGAGCGGTGCCTGTGCAAAAGTAGCGAAAGTGCGAAAAACGTTCTCACGAAGTTTATTCCACATAAACGCAGTTCTCCAGATGAAAGAGTTCTCAAACAGAAAAGTTCGAGATGTACTGAATCGAACCTCAAAATGATGAGCAGTCACAGTCCGTCGCGTATTTCGGCTCTTGGTGGAATCAAATGTGCCAAGTCACTTGAAGAGTTCCCGCGAAAGTATCTATAGAAGAGAGACAAATCTCCAACCTTTCTCCGATTTTCCAGACTATCAAGGTTGCAAGTAATGTTCGCGTATCCAATTAGGCGGATAGCTCTTTTCTGAATGGAATCCAGATATTTTGTGGATGACTCAACACTTCTAACTATTTTTTTGAGTATATAACCTTCCACAATCTCAAAAATGAAGGAAGCTAAATGAATAGAAAATCTGTTGAAGTGCAATGAAGGACAAACTGAAAATTTCACTTGTATTCATAAATTTTGCGTTAAAATTTAAAAAATAAATTGAAAAAATCAGTACTTAGCTTCCTTTAGCGGTCGACGTTTCGGAAGGTTATATACCCCAAAAAATAGTAAGTAGTCCACTTTATCTACTGAAGACGCCAACTTGATTGGTGCAATGCACATCGAAAAGAGTGTCGCATTTCTGTTGTTTGAGAGTAGTGCGAGTTTTGAAAGTACTCACCGATTACGGAATTTAAATTGGTAGTTCTGAATATACTTTTGTTTGAGTGAATTTCATGAAAAGTGGTTATTATTATTTTTTAGAAAAGACAAGCTTTTGGCTTTCTACTTCTCCATCTTGATACAAAAATTGTGGGAATCTTCCAAGGAAGGAAGTAATCAATTTCAAAAATTAACTCTATATAAAGATGTGTAGATCATGCAAAAAAGTAACTTTCAGACACAAATTGGAAGAAAGGGCAGCCTCGAAACGGATATTTTCACAATAACACTGTTATCCGTATTTGGTACTGAAGAGCCGATAAGGCAAGTGTCTCACGGCGAAACATCGGATGTCTACCAATGAGGATGACTGTTTCATGTTAGTGAAATTTTACTTCCTTCATTCATTATATTGAGCGTCGCTCAGGAAGTTGATATGATATTGTGTCACAGTTGCAATAAAAGAATACATTTTGAATCAGAAATGGTAGACTGGTATGACTATCCGTAGAAAAAAATATTCGAATGATCCACAATGACTTGGAATGTCCAGGAACGTTCCCGAACGTTCTAGACTATTTCCGAACATTCCATAATTTCCACAATTGTCTCAACAAATTTGGCTGTTCTGAAAATGTCCAGAGAGCGAAACATCCAGCCGTTATACAGTTTTAAAAGCACGCCCATGAAATAAAAACGAAAACTTCTTGGATAATGAAGGGCCACTACATTATATAACCTTTTTGATCGTTCCACAATTATCTGAAATATTTCAGAATGTTCCCGCACGTTCTAGGCGAACATTCCACCCATGTACCAGGATGTTTTGGAATATTGTGAAATGCTCTGGAATACTGTCAAATGTTCCGGACTCTTCAAAAAATGTGTAAAAGGCAAACATTCTAACCCTTGTTCTTTAAAAGCACGTCTTGATGGTGAAAACAGAATTTTTTTCCATGGATGATGCATAGAGGGCTCAAACAGCATATTTCTGAAAATTCAAAATTATTCCAAAACATTTCACCACGTTTTAAAATGTTCCGAATTATTCTGGAATGTTGTGCAATAGTTTTGAATACTTTCGAATGTTCCGGATTGTTCTAGAACTTTCCGATACTTTCACTGTATTGAGGAAATGAGAAAATAAATATTTCGAAATATTCATCTTTACCATAAACCCGTACACAGTAGGATGTGCCAGATTCCTGTCGGAAAACAACTGTTTACCGTATTTGTGAAGAGGACCGCTACGGGGTTCAATTCGACACAGAGCTTCATTCTTGCAATTCAAAAACTCACTCTCTTCATAAAAACATAAATTCGTAAATTTTTCAGAGCTCACAAAAGTCTTGGATCAGACAGTATAATATTTATAAGGCTTATGGGAGGATCGATCTTCAAAGAACTCGAAAACATTGTTGTCATCTGAAAACTGGAGACTGGAAAATTGAAACAGGTATGAAACAGGTAAACCGTTATTTTTAACACCTCGGCACGTGTTTCGATAACCAAGTGATCATCTTCAAGAGGAAGATTAAATTTCAATCTTCCTCTTGTTTACCTTGTGTTCAGTTATTTGTTTTTGTTATGTATCATCGTGACATTAGAATTAAAAAATTATAGTTGAAAAGCAAATTCAAATAGACTTTCAGCATTTTTTTTAAATAAAGCAGTAAAATTGAACTAGAAAATTCAAAAAGTATATTTTCCGCCCATACCAAATCAGTAGTTCAGTACATTCTACAATATTCAATCGAATATTTTCTCATGAGAGACAGCGTGGTCACATTAAGAGCATCTAACTATTCAGAAAAATATATCAAATAAAGCATAATATCCTTTCTTTTCTATATCCAACGTTAGTATTCACTTAATCAATGACCTATTGATTTACTAATTGATAATTCATGTAAAATATGTTTCTACGATCACTTCCATGAAGATTTCCAAAACACAAATCTTAACTGATAAAATATTTACTCTTGACCAAAATTATTTTCTAAACAAGGACGGTTGAACCATACTAACCTGCATCCAGTATTCTTTGTTTGACAGAATGCTGTCTCCCATGCCAAAATTGCCAAGCTTTAATTTCATCTTCGGGGCTCTTCTCTTCTCGAAACATCAGCATAACAATACTCTGGAAATCAAAGAAAAGCATCAGATACTGTATTCTAGATCTTTAAAAACATAAGACTTCTACGTGTGGTATTTCCAAATTTGAAGCAGGTTCTGATGTTTTATTCAGAACCAATTCTGCCTATCCTCTCCGCAAATCCTGGTTATAATGGCTCCACTACCTTGCGGGCTTCTTATTATTGTCTTCTAGCCGAATTTTGTTTCACCAGTTTTCTGTAGTGATTATTCTGCTGAAGATATTTCCTGATGTCTCCTTACCATGGAGACCAGAGTCTAGGGTCTCTACAGTTCTTCTCCTGATTAATTGGTGGTGGTTGGATTCGAGATTCAGCTATTGTCCCGTATATGTCCACTTCTTGTCGGAGCTCTTCACCATTACGTCTAGAAACAGCGATTCATTGTTTCTTCTCCATCACAGATATTGTGGAAGGTATCATGCTGTTGAACTAATTGGTCCCATTCTGTGACCTCCATTGAATTTCTAACGATTTATCTTCAATATTTTATTTAAGGTCATAATACTTTATTTGCTCATTCAAATAACACTTTATTGTGAGATTTCACTGAATAGTTTACAATATGACAACACGTGTTTCACTGTACAATAGGAAATTTATAGTGATTTGAAAGGGTTATATTTTTAGGAGTGATTAATTATTACTCAATACTTATAGTTATATTATGACCAAAATTACACAAAACCTTTGTGAATTGTATCCTATATGTTATTTTGATGTATAAACTGATTTAATGTAAAGTTTCATCTAAATCACCCCAGCCAGGTATGGGTACCCCGTGAAGGGCGACACTGATGTCTGAGGACTTCATGCCGCCAACATCCCCTCAGTCATGAACCCATTTGTCCTTCTTCAACAAAAACCAGCTGAAAGGGTAAGGGAGCTGGGCTCCAACCTGATTGAATTGAAGACGCTTGGTCGGTGTCATCTAAATCCGTTCAGTCGTTTAGGCGTGAAAGAGTCACAAACGTACATATATACATCCTCACGAACTTTCACATTTATATCAGTATAGATGTATTTTTGAAAAAAAAAATCGAAATCTATTCCTTCATCCAAAACGTCATCCAAAACGAGTACTTTTCCCAAACACCAGAACAGCAGTTTTCGCTGGCCCTTCACCAAAAGTTTCATAAAGATTTTAATGTCAATTCAAATCGATTGACATCTTTACCGTTATTTAAGGTTTCAGACAACAAGTGGAACTTGCGAACTGGAATAAGGAGTAGTCAGTTCTATTTGAAACACAGAGGGGTGCACACTTAATAAAAAAAAGAGATAGATAGATAGAACGATTTAACAAAAATATACGTGGTACCTTAAATTAAAAAAAATAATGAGGTAATACTATCGTTGGACAGTTTATATTGTTTACATGTTGTTTATTGAAGTAACTGCGGTTTCAATTATTTCATACCTCGCAAACAGTTGTTTTCAGAATTAATTAACTGTGAGTATTTCATATTTCACAGCAAGTAGATTTCATATATATCGTAATTATACATTTTAATCTCAAATTGAGAATGGCTGTTTCTGTTCTGGAATATTTAATTGCCAGATATCAGGGTTGAAAAATTAAATATAAAATATAGAAAAGAATTATGGTGGACCACTTAGCTAGTTACTGAGAATGTACCAGCGGAAATGTGAAGCTACTGAAATAAGTTAATCTATTAGTATGATTTAACTCAACAAGTGTGGAACAGACTTCCAATAACAACCGAAAGCACAAAAAGGTTTTTCAATCATGCCTTTCATTTCGATTTCTCATCTATGAAATGATGATGTTTGGTAATTTTCAACTTCTATTGTTAAAAAAGTTTTATGCACGAATGTGAAATCTATTTCTTAATCTAAAAGAAGCACTTTTCCCGAACACCAAAACTGCAGTTTTTGCTAGCCCTTTGTCAAAAGTTTCATAAAGATTTTAATATCACTTCAAATTAATTGACATCTTATTAAAAGAACTTGCGAACTGGACTAAGGAGTAGTCAGTTCCATTTGAAACACAGAGGGGTGCACACTGAACCAAAAAAGATAGACAGAACGATTTTACTACAATGTAAGTTTTATCTTTCACTCTGTACTTTCCATAGATTACGTAAGACTTAGAGAAGTATTCTTCTCTATGAATGTATTGTAGAAGAGTTGTCGCCAGTACGAAATACTTTGGATTCATAAGATTTTCTTACAACATTTGAAGAAACGACTGTTTCTTCAAATGTTTTTTTACTTGATTGGAATTTTCTTCAAATAGCATTACTTGACATTTAAGGAGTGTAGATATCTTTTCGAAGAGCGTTGAAATCTTATATTCAGAGACACGATGAATAAGCACGTACTTCACTGACATCCGTGTTTTCTTCTCAATTAAGAAAAATATAGTGATGATGACATTTCTTTTTTTATTGGGATCCAAAAGAGTTATTCAACTTGCATTTTCTGCACTGGATGTATGGTTAAAAGTTTTTCATTCGACCCTGTACACCGTTGACCCTGTACATCTAACAGAACTATAGTTAAAATGCAGCTTCTCGGAAAATACCATGATAAAAAATTCTTTCTCTTTGGTCGTACAGAATTGTAAAGTAAAGAACTAATCGCATGCACTCACTTTGTGACTAAAGATGACCGACGAAAAGAATGTTAGCATTGGTTGACGTTCCAAATAAGCGGCACAAACTCTCGAGGCCAAGATTTAATTCTATAAGAACACCGCTCGATACGAATAGTTTTGATCAGGAGGTACGTTGGACCTTAGCAGGTGTCGAATGATATGGAGCGGAGTTCGGCAGTTTTCATTTGGTCAAGTAGTCGGTAGCGAGCTCCCGCACAGTGGCGTCAGCCAGATTAATACAGAATCAAAGAAGAATCAATTACAAATATTTTGTGACACGTTTGGACTGTTTCTGTAATGCAAAGATTGTTTTCTCATTTTTTTTGGAAGTTTCATTTCTGTCTATATCCTGGTTCTTCCAAGAGTGTTGAATCAGAAATACACTTCAATCAAGGAAAAGTATATTGCGCTGCAGAATATACAATAAATGGTGAGCTTATTGGTTAACTTGATCTCTGAAAGTTTACACTTTTGTGTAAGAGGAAGACGGCATATTTTTCTAGCTGAAAATGTGGTCTTTAGACCGAAATTGGTTCTAGGACAAACTCTTTCTCGCAGGTAAACTGAGTGCTAGTCATAAATTTTACATATTACAGGTCTGACTAGATTTTTAATTTTTTACTTTGAACAGTTATACTTCTACCTTTCTGATTAACAACACAGGAAAATGCCTGAATATGCAAGATCTAGCAAAACAAAATGGAAAAAAATTGAAATTAAATGGTCATACTAAAAATACCCTTTTGTAGTTGAAAATATCTTTCAGAACTTCATTAACTAATCGACGAGCAATTATCACACTTTATTATTATAAAATCAATTCAACCACCCAATTACTGAATCACAAAATAATGTTCAAACACTTCGCTACAATTTACAAGACAGACTATGCCTATCTGAACTTTTTCGCAAGCAAAAACCCAATACTAGCCGAACAACAAAAACTGCAGATTGCAGCGAAATAATTTGCCATAAACAATTGGAACACGATAGGTATTCATCCCAAATTGATTCAACTTTTGCATTTTTCGGAAAACATATTGTTAGCATTTCAAAGCTGAATATTTTCTAAACAAGATACAGATTTCTCAAAAGTGGAGCGGCAATGAAAAGAACTTCATTGGACTTGCAAAATTGAAGAGATTTACTCAAATAGTGATTAAATCGAAAGAGGTATAATTTTAGGAGAGATTAAGGTATTATTGGATTTCTACTTTTCCATCTTTTACACGAAAAAATGTGGGAATCTTTCAAAGAAAAGACAAAAGTACTCAATTTCAAAAAAATAACTATAAACAAAGACGTGTGGATCATACAAAGAAGTAACTTTAATACACAAACTGGAAGAGAGTGTGTTCTTCCAGTTTGTGTCTGAAAGTTACTTCTTTGCATAAAGTACATAAGAGAATACATTTTTTGAAAATGATTGCTTTCTTCCTTTCTTCAGAAGATTCCCATGTTTATTTGTATAAAGATGGAGATGTAGAAAGCTTTCTTTCCCAAAGTAATTCAAATGTTGTAATGTACCAGTTTCCAATGTAAAATTCTCCTTTTATTTTCCCCCACATTGGTAAATACAATGTATACCTGATCTTCCAGAAATTTCCATGACCTGAACGGAGATCAAACTGACCTACGCTAAATTCAAAAGTTAGTTGGGTAGCTGAACTGAAGATTCGAGAGAAGAAAAAACAACACAAATTAAAAAAAATGAAGGCCAAAAAAAGAACAGAAAAAAGAAAATATTCTCGACAAAATGAAAATTTTACTAGGAAAAAATATTCTAATATGGAATTTTTCTAAATTATATTAGTGGTTTTCAGTTATCAAAATCGAAAACTGTTTTGATAATCATAAAAATACTTTAAAACTGTACTACAAAAGGAATAAATCACTAATAGTTTGTTAATTTAAGCCTCTTTGTGACATCTTTCAAAATATTTATGTGTGCAATGACCTGGATATAAACGTATTTCAAAGTTAATATCCAGGTAAATACATGCTTCGGAAAAATTTCAAAGTACGTCATTGGATATTAATTTCTACCTGTTGGTGTGGGTCTTCACTTTTCTCTTACCCTGCGGTATATAGGTTGCGGTCAGCGTAAACAAACCAACATAATGGGACAAAACTGACAACAGTGTCCGGAGGAGACACATAATAAGGGCCTAGAAATTATCGATTCTTTTTATTGGAACTTTTTCACTTGATTCTCAGTTCTCTCTGAAGGACAGAAACTATTTTTGGTAAATATTTACCAGAACAATTGGGAATTATGATGATGAAGCATCATTATTGAATTTTTTTTATTTTATCTGATTTTTTGTTGAAAATCACTCTTACATGAATTTGTATTTATCCCGTAGT